GTAATAGGGTGGTTAAATGCTTTAAATTTATACAATTCCGAAGAAATATACATCTTACTTTTGGAGATTTCATAGCAGCGGCAGGCGTAATAAAAATAAAGGAAAACTTTTTTTTTCTGAAATTTCCATTTTTTCGTTATGGTGGTTGCGCTAGTTGCCCAAAAATAAAACTGTATTTTTATTGAAATCATCATTAATTGCAGGCAGTGGGTTCACTCTGTCTCTTATACACATCTAGATGTGTATAAGAGACAAGTTGTAAACAGGCTGGTAAATAATAAACAAATGTTTTGATATAAAAAGTAGTATAAAAATCATTTGTAATGTATTCTATTTAAGTTTCCACCTCTTCTTAGCCTCTGAAAGTAATCTTTCAGATATTTTTTTTTTACATGGAAAAATTATTGTTTTTTTTTAAATAGCAAATAGTAAACTTTTTCATAAGGCTCCAGAATTTGATGAGGGCAGGCATGTGAAACTAGAAATTAATTTTATTTAGCCTAATGCAAAATTCCTTTCCCCTGCAAAATTAAAGGTTTAGCATGCACAGTAGTATGAATCAGAACGGAAGTTTCTGTGGCAGAAATACTCTTCGGTACAAAACTTGCACCCAAGGGGGCCAACAATTCCTAATTTTGTTATAAGTGAATTTTGTTATGGGCATTGGAAAATTTTAACAACAATGTATGCATGTTACATATTTTAAATAAAACTTTATATACCTGGGGTATTATTGAAATACTCTTTCGAAGGTCATGCAGTCCAAGGTCACTGATTAGAACACCATCTATCATGACCTTACCTGTGGGTTCAGCCAAGCGTAACAGAGCTGTCATCAAGGAACTTTTGCCAGCCCCAGTTCGGCCAGCAATACCAACCTTCAAGAGAAACAAGTTGTACTGTTTTAATTTCACTGGAATTCAGCCCCTTTAATTCTATTAAGTAGATTGAGTTGGTGATGAGCTTCACTTCTTTGGCTAGGTAATCATTTTATTTAGTGCTTTTCAAAAACCAATTTTCAGTATGGAATATGTTGTTTATGCAGCATTGAGTGAGAACACTAAACCTGAACCACAATAATTAAGACTGTGCTGGAATATTGTATGTGATATGCATCACTTTGTATGGCATGCATTTTTTATGTTTACCTGTTATTATTATTATTATTGATGATTGTTTTTGAATTTTATTCTGTCCTGCACTCCAAGGTGACAGCTGTTTTCTGGTAATATCAATTGAGGCTTACCATCCAAAAACCAAAGTACCTTTGCTGATTGTTAAACTGACAGAAGCTGTAACACTTTTATTCATAACTTTGGTAAAAATAAGTCAATTCCCGTAAATGACATATTATTTTTAAGCTTATAATGTGGAGAATATGAATATATATTATAAAGTCAATTTTCTTGTTTTGGTAACTGATACTGGTCTTGGAATTGCAAGTCCCATATATTACCCAGGAATGTCACCACGCTCTCGACATTTCAGACAAGGATTTACAGGCTCCTGACCACCACTATTATTTCAACAGTTTACAAATTGTAACAAAATAATTAGTTTACCTGAACACAATTATAGACAAGCTAAATTGATAAAGACAAGAAGAATACAATAAATGTTTCTGTGGTTACGTTAATTGTAACAAAATACTGCACTGCCCTGCTATTCATCGCTAACTGAACAGCCTAGGCCCAGGTGAGTCATAGCGAACGTCGTGGGCTGGCATGACACGGTGGCTGTACACATTGGTTAAAGTTGAAATCGTGACCATTCAAGTGTTTTATTATGAGAGCATGATCCGGGGCAGGAAAAGATTATTAAAAATTTACGAAACCTGATTTTCACTTTTAGTTATAATTGATATATAATGTGTAAATGGACAAAAAATAAATAAATGAGTGCACATGAATCAGTGACATACACATTCATCGTGGGAGACGTGTGGTATTCGTCAAACATGTGAAATTACGGCAAACAATGCGGCTGGGTACAGTCGGATCGATGCTTTGTCGCCGGGATTTGTTCATTATTATTTTTTAATCTAAAACAAAGCATGTCAATTATTGAATTTAATTAGGCCTACAGATAAGTCTCATCTTCATCTGTTTTGTTGCATTCCTCAAATTCTGGCCTAGGCCTACCTGGGCCTAGCCTAAAATAATCGTGTCAGCTAGCCTTGGGCCTAGGCCTGCTTGACTTAGGCCTTTTGGTTTTGAGCTTCCACGAATACGGCGACCGTTGTAATCGTCAAACATGTGAAATTACGGCAAACAATGCGGCTGGGTACAGTTGGATCGACGCTTTGTCGCCGGGATTTGTTCATTATTATTTTTTAATCTAAAACAAAGCATGTCAATTATTGAATTTAATTAGGCCTACAGTAAGTCTCATCTTCATCTGTTTTGTTGCATTCCTCAAATTCTGGCCTAGGCCTACCTGGGCCTAGCCTAAAAAAATCGTGTCAGCTAGCCTTGGGCCTAGGCCTGCTTGACTTAGGCCTTTTGGTTTTGAGCTTCCACGAATACGGGGGTCTCCCCCCCCCCCAGGAAAATGTGGGATGATCGCCGACCGGCACTTCAAAAAGCTGGTGACATCCATGATTACCATATAAATTTGTGTACCAAATTGGGTGATGATACATATGATATTACAGTATATGATATTAAAATAATATAAAGCAATAATATTAGATGTTTACTTTTTCTTTGGATCGTATACAGCAGTAGAGTCTGTTCAAGACAGTTGGTCCCCCATCAAAGTATGACAGAGATGCCCCTTCAAATGTGATGATACCATATTTAGGCCAATCTGAGGAAGGTTTAAATTCACGTTCAAGAGGAGCTTCAGGCTCTATATCCGTGTACTCTAGAACACGCTCAGTGGAAGTCATCTAAAAAGTAAAAATAATTTTATTAGCACACAATAAGTCTTTGTATTTGCTTTCAATACTGCTTGAGAACTGTGTGTAGCCTTAACAATAAAATTATAACTAATTTATTTTCAACTTAGCGCTATCATACAAAGTTTGAAGACACTCCCCAGAACATTCTCTTAAAGCGATACTTTTTTTGTACCATGTTTCACGAGCTTATTATTTTTGAGATCATCAGAGGATGAAAATTAAAAAATAAAATTTTGTTTTCTACATTCAGCAAATAGTTTTGCCAAAAACATCCATATGAAGGAGAAAATAAAATTTTACTGGTGAATGTAAAGTGTGCAGTAATAGGGTGGTTAAATGCTTTAAATTTATACAATTCCGAAGAAATATACATCTTACTTTTGGAGATTTCATAGCAGCGGCAGGCGTAATAAAAATAAAGGAAAACTTTTTTTTTCTGAAATTTCCATTTTTTCGTTATGGTGGTTGCGCTAGTTGCCCAAAAATAAAACTGTATTTTTATTGAAATCATCATTAATTGCAGGCAGTGGGTTCACTACACAAGATATAAAAAAGTCTTGCATGTGTTTGAGATTTCTGAAAGTTGAAAGTGGCTAGTCAAGTTTGGATTTTTGGGGTAAAAGTAAGGAAGTTATAAGTCTCTATGTTCCCAGTGTATATGCTTGTCTGCATCTTACCCACTGCATCATCCCACCCATCCCCCCCCCCCCCTGCAAAAAAAAAAATGTGTATCCTCACAAAATAACTTCCTTACTAAGTTCTCCAGCTCAGCAGTCTGTCTCACACCCCACTGGAAAGCACCCATCAAACTTAACACATAAGAAAATGACAATCCAGCAGATCCAGAATTCAGATTCTCAGAAACTAGAAGCAATTAAAAGAAAAATCTACATTAATTAAAATACAATACTTTAAAATATAATAATACTAATAAAAATAACAATAATAATAATAATAATAATAATAATAATAATAACAATTCAGATTCTTAGAAACAGAAGCAATTTAAACAAAAATCTACATTAATTAAAATACAATACTTAAAATAATAACAGTAATAATAATAATAATAATAATAGTAATAATAACAATAATAATAATAATAGTAATAATAACAATAATAATAATAATAATAATAGTAGTAATAATAACAATAATAATAATAATAATAGATTTTTAGAGTGCATATTATGGAGACTTTAGGCACTTAACATACACATGAAAGAAAGTTACATGCAACACTCTTACCATGTAACAAAATGACAGAGCCATAAGTGACAACTGCAACAAATATCAAGCTCAACCAGTCAAGCCAGATGCCGAAGTACCTCGATGTGGCTAGAAACATGTACCAAGCTTGGGTATGAGTGTCCTGGTAGCTCTCAAACTGATCCTTGAATGACTGCTGTACTTGGAAGGCTCTCACTGTACTTAGACCTTGTAGAGTTGCGGATAGGTGGGAAAATACTGGACTACGAGCTGCAATAAACATTTAGAATAATACAAAATCCTTCAACTACAAGGCTTTCATTAATACTTATTATAAACTGCAAGCAATAAAAAAATAATGAGGAAAATCAATTAAAAAGTGAATTAAACCATTGAATAAACGGATATTTACTCACTAGCTGAGTAATGTTAAATGCTTATATATATATATATATCAATTCAGTGTATTTTATTATTAAATTGTATGTTTGTTACAGTATTTCCAGCTTGTAAAATGATCTTAATTGTTTGCCTTATAAAAACTAACTATATATCTGTATCTTAGAAAAGCATATGTAATCTAAAATTTAAACTTGCCTATTCTAATCATTTAAACAAGATAAAAATTAGGATTAGGGACATGTGAAAATTAAGTATGTTACACATATAAACTGTACTTCCAAATAAAAAATGACAACTTTAGAACAAAAATTGAAATAACTGAAACATAACTTACTAATTCCCTCCATACGCTTTACATCACGTGATGTATATAGGTAATATGTTCGCACAAACACTAAAATAACAAAAAGTGGCACGACAAAGACAAGCACAACTGGATTGAAAATGACCACGGTAGTGACGATCCCAAAGACCATTAAGGAAATCTGTTGAAATGGAGTGCAACAATATCAGATATTGGGTTTACACTAATAAATCTTTGTAGGCAATGGTGTGATAATAAGTTGTTCATGAACCTTTAAATACTGTATTGTTATTTCATTTTTTGTCATTATACTAAATTTGGAATTAGAAATTGTGGCTGGGCCCCATAAAACGGCGCCACTACTATGTATCCTGTCTCGCCTAACTGTCATGCGGGGGCTTTGCAAGGAGCCAAGTGATCGACTTCGATTAAAATCTGACATTCGCCGGATTTGAACAAAAAGCATGAACAATACCTCTCAGTGAAATGCTCACCTCACCCAAGAGCTACAAAGTATAATTGCTAGTGGTATTATCATGAAATGTACCAAGTACCGTACTCCCCTCATTAGAATCACCATTTCTAAATTGCATTATCAATTTTAATATTCAATATATTAATATTTTAGCATTCTTGAAGCTACTTATTACTTACTTACTTTCAAATTAGTTTGTTTATGAATAATTACTATTTATTACAAATTATATAGTGCCACCTTTGCAATTTAATTTAAATTTTATATATTAAAAATTAATATTTACATTTCATTTTTCTGTTTTGTACTATACAATAATATTGATTTAATGCAGTGACATAGTGTCATCTATAATTGAAAAAGCGCCCTCTACTTGAAAAGTTTGCCAACCTGCACGACATCTGCAAATGTTAGTGGTAGGAGGTCATCCATAAATCCGATATCTTTGGCAAATCTATTCAGAATTCGACCTTAAGAACAAGAAGGAAAAATAAACTTCGATTTGGTTTGATGTGATGTAACATTTTAATTATAAGGAAGTTCAATAAATATTCACCTCTGGTTTTAAATCTTAGAGACGCTGGCCATGAGGTCAACCTTATCCCCCTTGAAATCAGCTCACATGGGTTCAACTCATCTGATAACACTGAATGTTTACAACTTCTACATAAACTGTCAGACGCATGCGCACACAACGGTAACCGTTTGTATCAACACACATGGAAATTCTATTGTTCTGTCACTGCAACATTATATCTAGGCCTAGGCGACCTACATTTTTGGCTTTCGCGTTTTCTTTCAAGATCTGAACATTCTTGTTTAGAATTATTTTACGTGTCAAACGATCTATATTAAGCCTGTCTCTTATACACATCTAATCATTTTTGAAATTAACCTTATCAATTTGAAGTAAAGATGTGTATAAGAGACAGATGTCTTATTATGGGGGTTAATTAATAGGGAAATGAAATTTGTTAGGTAGGGCCTGTTTCTACTGAGCTAAAAAACACATGTTTTTAAACAATTATTAAAACATTTGTGTTTTTTCACCAGCAGAAACGTGCCTTGGTTAGGAATGTGTTCAAAAAATGTGTGTTTCAACACGCATTTTTTATAGGGTTGGCGATCAGAAAACCTATGTTTTGTGGTACACTTTTCAGCTGCAATGCAATACTGTGTTAGTATTGACCCGTCGGTGACCCAAATTGACCCCTTCTTTGGTTCGATCGTTTGTTCGCAAGAAATTTGTGGCGAAAAAACAATGAAACCAACAAGATGATATGAAGGCTTACCATAATTTTTTCATACTTTCGCGGTGTGTTGTCTTTCGCAACATGCGCTGTAGCTCACAGGGAGAAAGGTCAACTTCAACTACTGTAGGCGACTGTCATTATTAAGCTCCGCCCACCTACCAATGCTACAATATTTGAATTGAACCCATGCATCTAAAAACCATATGATCATTTTACTTACAGAATTTGCAAAATCAATGGAATCAAATTCTTCTTGTGCTGTTTCTTCTTTGTACACCCAATATGACAACCACCAATCAGATGCATTATATAGTGTCTGGAAAATACATTAATCTTAAATTTCACAACAGCTATGTGATTAAGTAATTAATTACTGTATTTGCTATAGTTATTTCAGATTAAAACAGGTTTATTTATTTATTCAAAGAGGTATAAAAAGAACTTGGTCAAAATAGCCCTCATTATATTTCTTCATTTAATTTATTTGAAAATCATAAAAAAAGATGAAATACGTAAACAAGTTATTACTATGAAGTCTACAACATAAAAAAAAAATTATTCTAGCAAATGCTGAGATTACACTAAAAATATTAGAATAATAATAATAATGAAATATTTGTAATAGTAATTTATCAAAAGCTAGTGCAGGATCTGTAATGGGAAATGTTTAACAGGAGAAAAAAGGATATATGGATGGTAAAATACAAGAACTTTAAGGCAAAATAATCATATACACACTATACCTGAACTAAAATATTAGCTAATACGTATAGCAATAAGAAGCAAATTCCACCTCCAGCTCCAATATATCGCCGGTAAACTCTAAAGGAGACAGTGCCAATAGCTTTGCTTTCCTTTCCTTCGTTTTCAGCTGCTGAGTCTATACCCTTTATAAATGTAAAAAAAAGTTTAAAATTAAAAAGAATGGTCTCTTTAATATCACCTTGAATTATCTTGAACCGTAGGACTTAAGAGCACTCATTTGTCCCTCTTGTGACATCTTAAAAAAACATCTCTATTACATATTGGCTAAATTTATGATGGTGGCCAGACCAGCTCTTTTCAAGCCCAGACTTCATATAATTTACTGATGAAGCACAAAGAACTTCTTGTGAAAAGACTGTTCTAATCATTAATAACTCTGTTAGCAAATGATTGTTTCCTAACACCACCCACACCCCTAATTAAACAAATCAGTAGTGATGTTGTTAGTCTATACACAATAGGTTGACTGTCATAATACATGGAGAAATGTTTAATAATGCCTAGGTTTTAAAGATGTATTGTCTGTCATGCAAAATACAAAAAAAAAAAAAAAAATCATAAAAATCATTTTTGAAATTAACCTTATCAATTTGAAGTAACATAAAAATGATTAACTTGAAAAAAGAAATGAATGAATTTAAAAAATATTTACCCATAACTTTACAGTGAAAAATTATAGAAACACTTCAAATCATTGGAAGTGTTTTATTATTTTTACTATCATTACCCAATATAAAAACCCGGGTACACATTTATAAATTCAATAATTTCTATGTTCAAGTTAATTTGTATGTTACTGCAAAATGAGTTAATTACAAATTATTTTTTATGATTTTTTAAAAATCATTTTTAGGGGACAATACATCTTTAAGGCTATAATGGAAGGTAATTTGTACACTGGAAGATAATCCGCTAATCTTTCTTGACATTAAAAGTCCTTATTTGGACATAGCAATAAATCAATGACTAAAAACTGTCTCATAACATTGAACCAGTGTTTTAACCTAAAGCTGTGTCCGGATTATAACATTTTCTAGGACAAAAAAACTGGTGTATGCACATTATATAGTCATGATGTGCCCATATATGGTCATGATGAGATGTCATCATGACCATATTTAGACATGTCACATTTTTTTTGTCAAATAAATTTTCATAGTTTGGACAGGGCTTAACTTCACAGGCAGCCTTCCAGCTAAATGCATACGAAGCAGAAATATAGGTACACAAGGATATATGATGTTTCGGTACAGAAACAGGTAATACCATGAAGCACACTTTTCCACTATGCCCCATCCCTTGCATATTGTTGCTACCACAGAACGATAGTGTCAAACATGTACGTGGAATAACACGTACGTCTGTGGGTCAAGCGTGTACTCCTGGCCCTCTTATGATTGGCCAGTTGTTGAAATAAATTGCCAGTCCAGAAAGACTCATTAACCTACCGAGTAATGCATGCATGTCCTTTCCGCAACCAACTCAAAAGCGCAGAAAAAGGCTGAAACCATTTTAGCTGATTGTGGATTATCAGTGGTGTCTATGCGCTCTGGTGCGGCGGTCCGCAGGGACTCCAACCCCTAGGCGTCCCTAACCACATGGTCCTCGACCTAGCACCCTGACCCAAAAGGACTTTGTTGATACATTAAAGCATAATTTGTCTCTGAAATCGACTGTATATCATATTATATCCAGGGGCGAATTACAGGGGGCCCCTAAATTTTTTAATTTTAAGTCTGTGAATGCCATTTCCGGCCATTGCCGTAATCATAAATTTTCTTTCCTCAGCCCCAACCATGGTCGTGCTGAGGTGGTATTGACCCTTTATCAGTAAAAGTCCTATTAAACATTCCTGGATTTACCACATACATCATATCATTTATTTTGTGGTTAAAAACATTAAAATGTAATGACAAACATATTTAAAATACGAGTGCATCTAAAATCCTACAATGGAATTGGCAACCGGCACCCAAAATTCCCCCACTCTCAGAAAGCCATGGAGGACCCCACCCCATCGTTACGCCACTGTGGATTATGCTGCCATCATGGTAATTAAGCAATCAGTTTGTTATTCCTCACCTTAGAGGATTCTAATGATCCGGTGGAACTAAACTGTTGTGATCCTGCCATTATCCCAGTAGTTGATTCTTGGTTACTTATTACATCATCTTTGTTTTCGGGCTCTTTTAGTAAAGTGGCAAAATCTATCCCAGAAGACTGCAGCTCACTGTATGTTCCATAACCAGCTACCTGACCCTGATTTATTTCAAATTAGAAATTTGTCAATTTTTATCAAATAACTTTAAACAAACATCCAAGAAAAAGTTTGTTACTTTGAAGGCCACTGTATTTTTAAAGCAGCAGCATATCAATGGAATGATGGCAGTGGATCTGCACCTTGGCATTCTCTTAATGTATTGTTAATTTTGTGATCTTTATATTTTGTCCACTACAGCATATAATTTACTCTACTTTTTACTCCATTACTTTTAAAACTTCTACTCATAAAACTTCTAATAATAACCACAGGTTACTGTTCTTTAATTATTTTTTAGGGTGGGCTACTATTATAGTAGTGGGTTACTAAAAAAAAAATTGTTATGTTGGCATAACCCGACCGACCCTAAAAAAAATTCAGCCAATCCTAGACATTTTTAATTAAATTTCATGTTACAAGTTTAAACATCATTAAAAAAAAATGCAAAAATGACTGAAAATACTAGTACATTATATTTAAACCCAGTTGTTAAAGGGGAACTCAAGGTTTGAAATTTTTTCTAGAAATATTGTTTATTTATTATTTTACGATTATGAGTTAAAAAAGTTATGAAATAAATTGTGATAAGATAGTTGAAAATTTTTGGAAGAAAACAAGGAATGATATTTAACATCTACAAGGCAAAACATGTTTTTCAGTAGCTTGGTAATTTTACAAGAGAACTCATTAATATTCATGATTCCATCCTGCCTGTCCTGGCTTCGCGATATTACTGTGTGTGTGCTGTTCCTCTCGTTTTTTCTATTCATTAGTTTTATTTTGTCAGCATATCATTGCCAGTATTTTTGACCTGTGCTTGCAAAATGGTTCCTAATAATAACAGAAATTCTCTATATTCTTCTTCTTATAACTTTTAAAAGTCAAATATTGTACAGTTTGCGTAGAGTGCATATAACATACAGATCCCATTTAAGGGCCTCCTCTGCAATATTTTAGTGACATGGATACTGTTTTTGATTGTTCATTTTCACAAGTGAGACTTTAACATTACATTTAACAATGCACATGCATATAGTTTATGGTTGCCGGTCCAATGGTTTTCAATAATAGTTTTTCACATGACCTATGAACTACTATTAAATTCTATTAATCTTGGCACAATTACTCTGCTTACTTTCTTACTTTCGACATGAAGAGTATCTGTGTTCAAATAAACAGGAGATTATCACCACAAGGATTTTATAACTATTATATTTTGTACACTATGGGTTATCTTGTATTCGGTTCAGCATTTGTATTTTACTTGTTCACTATACACAATATGGGGCTTGCAATGCAGAAACCAGCATCAGGGAGATATATTATATTCATATTCTCCACATTTATATAAGTTTTAAAATGATAGGTTATTTGCTAGAATCAACTTGGTATTGCCCAAGTTACGAGTAAGATTATTACAGCTTCTCTGTACTGAAGTATACAATACTGTCACGTTCATATGCTAATTACTCAGTTTAAAAATTAGCAGCAAAATGCTGGTTTTGGGATGGCAAGCCTTGTCGTTAAAATCAACACTATCATCTGCATTGTTAATATGATCAACATTTTCAATACTAACATTGTCAATAAAACATAGAAATAAGAAAAAAAAAAACAATACATAAATGATTAGTGACATGGAATTTATAAGATCATATAAACTTACATCTTTCATTACAAGTATCTTGTCAACATTTTCCAAGTACTGAAGTTGGTGAGTAACTAATATACAAGGTTTATCCTTCAAACTCTCCCTAATACATCTGTAAATAGGTTTGAAATCTCATGTATTACAGTAAGTATGCTTGACAAATATGTGAGGTCTCACTACTGAATATGTTATGCCGGGTACTCGCTGCGTCATACGACAGACGTAAGACCACTCCCAACTCTACGCCTTGTAAGCACAAGACAATGTACGCCGACTATTGCACATAGTGCCATTGCGTTCGCCATAGAAAATCCGACGACTGCCGGGCTATACATAAGTAGAACACATTACAGTATAATCTTTACACTGTATTTTGAATGGCTTTCCTGGGATAAAACAGAACCAGTGATGTGTGCACTTGAAGTTCGGGTATATAGGAAAAGTGAATTTCTCATGAACACTGTAAAAAATGGAGAATTGCGAAATTTCAACCAAAATGCAAATACTCAAAAGATTTATCTATGTGACTGACTGGCAAAAAAAAAAAGGCACTTTCCCCAAACTGTAAATTATTTCATTATCTCAAAAACCAACGCAACTTTGCATGGAAAATCGCTAGGAAAAAAAGTGCACAGAAACGTAGGCCTACTGCTTAATACATTGGTTGTATATTAAGGGATAGGCCAAGGCTAAATTTTCTGCAAAAACTGTGGGGCAACCAGTCCTTATTTTCCAAAATGCAAGGACAGAGTTCTAGGCTTAATTTTCGTCCTGGGATATATTCCCAGCGCAAGCCTTATTTTACACTCAGTCTGGCGTTTGTCTTAAAAGAAAAAAAAAAAAGACTTCAAATCAAAAAAAATATATACATCATTATATCCTCACCAACTTGTTATATGGATTTAAATATTTTTTAATCAATTATTAGCATTTTACCTTTGAATTACAAAGATTTAATAATGTCATTTTAAGACAAGAGTCTGTTTTTGCTAGAGAGGGTCACAAATATCTAATACATCAACATAACTTACACATCAAACAAGTACCTCCCAACTTCTGTGTCAACAGCACTTAATGGGTCATCAAGTAAATAAATATCCATGTCACTGTAAACCGCTCTTGCAAGTCCAACCCTTGCCCTTTGACCTCCACTTAGGGTTACTCCACGTTCACCAACTAGCGTGTACTCTTTGTTTGGTAAAATATCAAGGTCCTGCCAATAGAAGGTGCATGTTCATTCAGCTTTATTAGTCTAAATTCAATGGTAATCATTAAAACAGTAATAATACATGCAGTACCAAAAGCTGTATGTTACACAAACAGCATATTGTATTATATTTGAATATAAAAATTTAATTACTTAATTTTCATATATAAGTAACCTTTCTGTTAGAAATAGAACTTTCTTATATTTTTTTTGCAATGACTATTAAATTGCATTTTAACAGTTGTGTATTAAAAAATTTGGGTTTCAATGAAAATATTATTTTTAACCTTTCAATGCATAATTTATTGATAATGTCAATTTATGAAAAAAAAATTTGTCATTTTAAAATGACAAATCCAATGGAATTATTTTAAATAGTCAATTCTTCGGGTTGTACAGTGAATTAAATTGTGCAAGAATTTTCCTATTCAATCTATTTATGTTTTACCAAGCGAGTGTTGACCCTTTTCTCTATAGAGTAGTGAATTACCTAGCTCTCAACAACAGGAGGCTATAAAAGTTTTGTGTATAAAAAGGTCAATATATTAAATTCTTTCACTTCCATTGACTGTCTGATATTTTTTAAGTCATTAAATAATAAATGATAGATGCACACAGATAATATATACAGACATTTGTGCTTAAAAATAAACTTTCACTTAAAAAGCAAAACAACTAAAGCATGCACTGATTATGTTTAAATAGCACATTAAAAATGTAATTCCAACAAGAGTCAGGTCATATTCATGTTGTTTATTGGCTCATTTCCAGGAATGAAGAAATAAGTAAGTATAACTACTTTCAAAAACTATAGAATATGCAAATAAAGGGATTTAACAGGTGTATACAATGGTGATATCAAAAGACAATCAGAATCAACAAATATAAAAATATTAAAAGATTATACAAGTAATATTTTAGCAAACATTGTATTATTTTAATAGTAAGATGTAAATCAAATGTAAATACTGCTATTTGTTATGAAATTTTTATGTATGTAGCATTATATTTACTGTATTGGTATTCTATGGTGGTTCTTTTGGGATCTTTTCATTGTATATTGTACTGTGCTTTACAATTGTTACAGGTAAAAATGTGTCCCAGTTGAAATAAAGAAAACAAAAATACATGAATTAATACACACCCACGGATTACCATAACCCCCCACCCTCCACTGCTTTTTCATAAATATAATCTATTTCACAGCTTGGCATACCCAATACTTACCCTTCTTAAAGCACATACTTCAACGACATGATCAAACTGCTGCTTGTTGTATGGTTTGCCAAATAGGATGTTATCCTTAACAGTGCCTGAGAAAATCCAAGGCAATTGGGAAGCATAAGCTAGCCGGCCTGACACTTTTACCTTCCCAGTTATTGGCTCATTTCCAGGAATGAAGAAATAAGTATAACTACATTCAAAAACTATAGAATATGCAAATAAAAGGATTTAATAAGTGTTACAATGGTGATATCAAAAGACAATCAGAATTAACAAATATAAAAATATTAAAAGTTTATACAAGTAATATTTTAGCAAACATTGTATTATTTTAATAGTAAGATGTAAATCAAATGTAAATACTACTGTTTGTTATGAAATTTTAGCATTATATTTACTGTATTGGTATTCTATGGTGGTTCTTTTGGGATCTTTTCATTGTATATTGTACTGTGCTTTACAATTGTTACAGGTAAAAATGTGTCCCAGTTGAAATAAAGAAAACAAAATACATGAATTAATACACACCCACGGATTACCATAACCCCCCACCCTCCACTGCTTTTTCATAAATATAATCTATTTCACAGCTTGGCATACCCAATACTTACCCTTCTTAAAGCACATACTTCAACGACATGATCAAACTGCTGCTTGTTGTATGGTTTGCCAAATAGGATGTTATCCTTAACAGTGCCTGAGAAAATCCAAGGCAATTGGGAAGCATAAGCTAGCCGGCCTGACACTTTTACCTTCCCAGTTATGTGAGGGACCTCTCCCATAATCGCCATCAATAGAGAAGACTACAAAAAAAATACAATTATATGGTTTTATTTCAACATCATTATCCTCAACAGGTATATTGGATTGGATTTATTCTGTGTAAACACCAAGGATAGCCCACGAAAGTCTAGAAGACGACTTGATTGGGCAATATTAGGTAGATGTTAAACCTACCTTTCCACAGCCTACTGATCCAACAACTGCCAACAGCTCCCCAGATTTTACATTTAAATCAATATTCTCTAGAACCATTGTGAAGGAATTTTCCCCATCAACCTAATGAATAATATATAAATATGAAACTCAATGACTGCTAGTTTCAAAGTTATATTTAAGAGTAATTAATGGTGGCATGCCTGAATGGTAGCTATTCCCTGGTTCGCCAAAAAAAACCTAGCAACCAATCAAAAATTAACCGTCAGTGTGTAATGAATTACCCACATTGCGTGACAGTTGCCATGATAATCATGTGTCTTGCAGTGATTACAAAGGTTTAGTGATTTTTTGCACCAACATTAGACTGAAATTATATTCAATATTTCAACATGAATTCAGCCCACGAATTTCACGTCGGCAATCGGCAATTGCCGACCCAGAATTGCTACAGGACAGCAATTTTTTGCCAACCTAGGCCTAGATTTCTTTGCCTCAAAAACTGCTTGGAAAGTCAAAAACTTTGACTGAAACAGGTTATAGCAGACACTAAATTTCATGTACGTCGTCAAACCAAGGAAATTGGTGGTTCATAAAACAGATTTGTTTGTACAATAACTATTTATAATAGGCATGCAGTACGTACGATTTGTGTACAATTGTCTTGTCTTTCTAGCCTAGTCGTTTCGTAGGCTAGGCCTAGGTAGGAATGACAGTTTTGAAGCAGCCTATGATGATACGATCGTAGCTTTTACGAAAGTGATATTTCCCATGCCAAAAATAACGATAAAATGAACGCTAAGATGAAATTTATTCGGCGATATTCTTATGTAAAACATATGTATTATACTACACTATTAAATTAATACAAGTACGACCTTTCTTTCACCAGCAATATATTGATTTAATAGAGAAATTAACAAAATCACAATCTGTATCTAACATGTAAGGTTGAGCGTTCGGAAAAATCGTAGTTTATACTATATAGGCCTCGGTAGTAAAAAATTGCCGAGGCTTCCAACCTCGGAAAATTTAAGGTCGGCAAATTTTTGCCAACCTAATTTTTTCCTAATTTCGTGGGCTGTGAATTTTACCAATGTTGTGGGACATACTTTGCAGAAAAAAAAAACATTTTCTGTACCTAATCAAATGACAGTTTATGTTACACAAGAATATGAATTTTTATAAAAATCGTAAATTTTCAATTACTATAACTTTTCATTTTGTAGGTCAATTTTAACGAATCAAATTGTAGTTTATAGAAGCAAGCTCACAGTCAAAAGAAATAAGATGTAACAGACATTGTGAAGTGTAATTAAAACTAATCAAATAGTAACTACCACCACTGACTCACTTGATCCCAAGATGCTGAAACATCCTCAGCTGCCACCTGCACATCCTCTGGCTTAGGTCGAAGGTTACTATGTTGAGCCTCAAGAGCAGCTTGGTCAAGCTCATCTAACAACAAAAATTCCTAAAACAAAAATGCGGATTACCCTTCTTTTTAACATACAAAATTTATATATAGTGTACATACTAGTTTGTAAAAAGGGTTAAGTCTGACAGATCTCATCTATACGTTCCCGATAAACGTTGTGGCAAATTAAATTCCACTTAGGTGTTCTATTCTATATATACAATTTACCTATGTAAGTGTAATGCATATTACCATTCTAAATCAATGTAGGCCTAGAAGGTAGGCCTAGATGCACCTTAGAGAATACACTAGGCTTAGGAAGATGTGGCACAGTTGGACTATTTAAAAAACACTGATTTGTATTGTTTTACAACATTCTTTATTAAAATAATAAGCCTTGCAGTTGCAAATCCAGCTTGTGTAGGGGAGGGAAGAATGGGGGCGAGGTGTGGAAAGACACCCTCAGTTTACCCATAGTTTTGCATCATGTGGCGTTTTATGGGTTTTTCCCATTTGCCTTTTAAAATTCTTATAGTTAAATAATAATAACATTGCAATTGCATAACGTATTTCAATTTCTTTTTAAAATTAGAAATAATATACAAGTTTAGAAAAACTAACCTTAATTCTACGCAAGGAAACAAGACTTTCTGTTAACGTCATTACACAATTTGGAAGGAAAATCACTACAGAGAGTCGTACAACATTGTACAACGGTATCACAAGGTACACCTTACTTGCTGTCAGTGTGTTACCAGTAAGTGAATAAACAACAAATGTAGCTAGACTAACAAGACTAGTGGCTGTATAGAAGAATGCTAGGTTCGATCCACGAAGCAGTGAGGTCTTGCGAATTTTCCTGATTTCACGCCTGGAAATAAGAACATCAGTTTAATGAAAATGTAATGTAACTCAGTTAAAACTAATAAAATAACTACTTCATATTGTATACACAACCTTCAACGTTCGCAAATATGACCGTAAGGGCGGGCCCTGAAGGACCCGCTCTGGTCTACTGTAGTCTAGGCATGATGACAATGGTGCTACAAGTATTCCTTGTATGCCCTGTGGTGCTGGTAATAAAAAATATCTACTACTACTAATTAAACTAATTTCTTGGTGTTTTCTTTTAAAATCAATTTAATTTTTTTTTAATATTTTCTATTCTACCCATCAAGGACTCATAATATTTCTACATATTAAATAAACAATATAACAAAAATGTACAATCAAGGTAATATTTTTCAAACATACTATTATTTGGTAGGATGTTAGCTCTTTTACTAGTTTTTTCTTCAGGGATAATTCACTATTGTATGACTGTGACCCTATTTGCACTACAAAAGAGTCTATTGAAGAAATTTATTTATTAATTTACTGAACTTGGTGAAAGAATGGTTGTATTTGTATTATTTTAATTGTGTAGTATATGTTTTACATAAGAAAATCGCCAAAGAATTGTCCTTTTAGTGTTATCTTTAGCATGGGAAATATCACTTTCATTAAAGCTACAATCGTATCATCACAGGCTGTCTGTGCATCAAAACTGCACATGCATGTCCATGCCGAGAACGATCTATCTGGGATTTTCCACACATGTACTATTGACAGTAGAAGTCACAATGCAATCGTGTTTGTGTTTAAACGGACTGTAAGATTAGGCCTACAATAATTTTTATTTGGAAGTTTTAAATATGATTAAATAATAATGTACAATGAAAGCAAATAATAGATTTATATAAGCATTATGATCTACGCAGCCTACATGGTTTCAATTGGGCAATGTTTTAGGCCTTGGCTGGCTAGCATCTCTTCTACCTAGCCTACAAAACGACTAGGCCTAGCTAGGCGAGAAAGACAAGACACACATGGTACGTATGCCTATTAAAAATAATTATTGTACAAACAAATCTTTCTTATGAACAACCAATTTCCTTGGTTAGACGACGTACATGAAATTTATTATCTGCTTTAGCCTGTTTCAGCCAAGTTTTGACTTTCCAAGCAGTTTTTGAAGCAAAGAAGCCTAGGACTAGGTCAGCAAAAAATTGCCGTCCTGTGGCAAATCTTGGTCAGCAATTGCTGATTGCCGGTGTGAAATTCATAGGCTGTTGATTAAAGTAAGTTGGTAATATTAAGCATAATGGAGAAAATTGTGAGTAATGAGATCTTGCCTTCTACACTCAGATGCAAGGTAACTGAAAGGTTTCTCCCAAGCGTACATCTTGATAACTCGCATTCCAGCGATGATCTCATTCATAATGCGAATTCTTTCATCAGTCAAGATAGCAGTCTTTGATCTGTATAAAAAATAAAAAACGTTCTATCATGTTACAGTATTTGCCACAAAAAAATAAAATGAGGCATTTTTTGGCAAAATGGCTAAGGCGAGACTTTTTTTTATACTTTGTTTATATACCAACTGCAAGTATTGATTATTTTAAATAAAAATAACATTTTAATTTTGGCCAATTAGCGCACCTGCCGCCACAAAAAAGTGAAAATTTCAGAAAAAGAATAAAAGTTTTTCTTTATTTTTATCAAGACCTCCAAAAAAAAGACATGTATATTTCTTCCTGAAGCATTTAACCATCTTATTTTACATTCATCAGTAGAAGTTAATTTTTATTTTCTTCTCCATCTGTATGATTTTGGCAAAACTATCTTCTAAATACGAAAACAACATTTTATTTATATATTCCGCACTCCTCTAATAAGTATGTGAAACAGAGACTAAAAAAAGTCTTGTCTAATAAGTTGTAGAAAAAGTTATTGGTATTTTCAGGTAATGATGGGTCATTAACTGAAATCAGACATGTTAAGATTTGGTAATTGGGGAATGAAAGTACAGCACTCTTTTTAAGAGGCAAGATGAACATAATTTTGAGGCTTCCAAAGTTATTAACTTCAAAAATGTTTGTACATGTATACTTGTTCCGGAATACATGAAGGAACCTAAAAAAAAAGGTCTGGCAGTCAACGTGTTAACCACCAAAATACAGTACCGCTGATAAAGCAACTATGACATAAAGACACGACATACCGAAATTTTGTAAAAAGTGTTCCAAACCATGCTTGTAGTGGAGCCATAAGCAGAACGATAAACACACCAGCAAAGCATGATGGGCCTATTTCATACCATAGCAACACAGTAACAGCAATCAACTGTAATGGAGCTATCCAGAGGTAGTGGACAAAGAGCATCGCCTGTGATTAAAGAAAAATAATAATAATTATAATAATAATAATAATAATAATAATAATAATAATAATAATATTAAACATTTATAACAATCATAACAATAATAATAATAATAATAATTTTAGAACAATCATATCTTGAAAAGTACAAGATAAGCTACCTAGATCGTACCATATGAATACAGGTATAAACATACACTTTTGATCCTGAATAGCATGTCCCATGTGGAGTAAAATAAATAAAGGTTTATCCATGCACATGTGCTGAAATCTATATTTTTTAGTAATAGTTTTCTTTATTTCTTTCGCATCCAAGAGCAAGTAACTTGCCAATTACAGGAGACAAGCTATTAATTGTCTTTTTATGTGGCTTAGAGAGTTGCTTTTAGTTGTCAGAAATGCTCTTGCTGCCACAGGAACTCAACCCATGACCCTAGGATTACAAGGCAAGTATCTTAGAAGGCAGTAGCAGCCACAGGTGTATCCAAGAACAGACACTTGAACACTATTCAATTGGATCAACCCAATACCCAATACCGGAACATACAAGTTGAATTACATACTTTAACAGTAGTTATCAAAAATGAATTGCTTGGATTGCCAGTAATGATGGTAAAAATGGTAAATACAGCGGAGGAGCCATCTTACATCCAACATCCAAAAAATCTTGGGGGAATGTCTTACACACAGATTGTCTTAAATATTAGACTTTAATACATTTAATGCATATTTCTAACAAGGTCTAGCCAAGGCCAGTTTCCAGGAGGAGCGACAGGCTTGCCTCCCATAGACTGTTATTTTGTCAGGTAAATCAAATCAAATTGTTATACTTTTTGACCAGAAGATACACAACACAAACTCAGTAGTGAAATATTATTTCAAAGAAAAATATTTATGCACATAACTATTATTTATTCTTTTTATCTTCTACATATCTGCTTTATACTATTAATAATATAATGACTATACTTTTTTATCTTTTGCATACTGTAATTCAGACCAGAAACTTACCAGATCAAATCTGTTTACATCATTTGACAAAATGTTTACGATTTGTCCAACTGTTGTCTTTCCTAAAGCTGTACTACTCAACCTGAGGGCCTGCAGGAATGAGATGATGGAACAATTGCATTAAAATGAAGTCAATTGAGAACAGTAGAACAATATTGTTTATAAATAAAAGAGACAATTGATGTAGGCAGTATAGAGGGCAAAGCCAGGTTTGACTCAGTCTGGTTAAAGTACACACAGTATAAAGTTTGAACCAGTCTGGGTTGTCCCACATCTGGCCTGATACAATTATAACTAAAAAAACTGAACACAGACTAAGACCGGTCTAAAGTCAAGCCAAGCTCAGTCCAGTTGAGTTATCTGTAGTCTTAACATGTTCGTGGTTACTGCCAGAGATGCGAGTTTACGCAGGGCACGAA